CTGGCTAATTTTTCTGTTTTTAGTAGAGACGGGGTCTTGCTCTTGCTCAAGATGGTCTCAAACTCCTGAGCTCAAGTGATGCCCCTGCCTTGGTCTCCCAGAGTGCTAGGATTACAGGTGTGAGCCACCGTTTCCGGCCTGTTGTATTATATTGATTGATTTTCGTACGCCAAACCAACTGTGCATTCCTGGGGTAAACCCCAGTTGATCACGGCGTACAATGCTTTGAATATGTTGCTGGATTTTGTCTGCTAGTATTTGTCGAGTTTTTGTCTCTATAATCATAAGGAATATTGGTCTATAGTTTTCTTCTCTTGTGATGTCTTTGTCTGGTTTTGGTATTAGGGCGGTATTACCCTCCTAGAATGGGTTGGAAATGTTCCCTCTTCTTCTATTTTTTGGAACAGTTTGTGAAGGTTTGGTGTTAATTCTTGCCTGGAGACATTTAAGGGTAGATGTTAAGTTGGATATAAGGATCCAGAACTCAAGAGAGAGGCTGGAGCTGGAGACCCAGATTTGGGGGCAAGAGGGCAGAGGGCAGGCCCAGCTAAGAAGGCAGCCTGGTGGAGGAGGTCTCCAGCCAGGTGGCTGAGATCGTTTGGGGAAATTGGGAGAAGAGAGGGCCAGGACAGAACTGTGAGAAACACCAACACCACTGGCCGTGCAGAGAGAGAGGGCTCTACAGGAGCCCAGGAGCCCAGGGCCTTGGCAGCAGGGAGGGTGACCATGGCTGAAGCCTGGGGTAGAGGTGAGGCTAGCCTGCTCTGTGCTGAGGCAGGACTGGGACATGAGGAAGTGGAGCCGCTTGAGCACCTCTTTTCCTGAAGGAGAAAAGGTTTCCTCTCAAGAGGCCTTTTTGAGGATGGGATTGAACTTGAAACCCCAGCTGGGCCCAGCAGCCAGTCCCTTCCGGAACAAGAGGGCCTAGCTGGGCCAAGCCCTTCATTCCAGGGATACGAACTTCTGTTTCTGGGGCTTACAGAGAGGACAGGAAGAAGAGGCTCACTTTGGGATTCTAGTTTTGGTGATGACATTTGTTCTGGGAGGAGCGGACATCCCACAGGAAACATGAACGTTGGGTGGTGATGTGAACGAGGGGAACCCCGTTTGAGACAGGGAGGCTCAGAAAGCCCCTGGGGAAAGATTAAGGCCCCAGCTCAGCCCCAGACAGAAGGGCCCAGCCTCCAAGCTAAGCTCTGGAGGCTCTTGTAGCTCCTCCAACAGAGGCCAGAACGCTCCTCCCCCAAAACTGGGGAACTTGCCAGGCCAGGCAGGGATAGTTGGAGGGAGATTGAGGGGCTCTCCAGGTCACTCCCCAACCTCATCCCCATGCCCAGGCCCCCTGCAGCCTGGCTGCTCCCAGCCCGTCCTCTCGGCCCAGCTCTGTCTCCTTCCCCAAGCTCTCCAGGCCCCTTAGCCAGCTTCCCTGCAGGGGACAAGTGGCAGTGGAGGCACAGGTGGAAAGCTCCCCAGGGGGCTGCCCCATGTCCCGGCAGGCCCGAGGGGAGAGGCTTCAGGGCAGCCCCCCAGTGTGTTCAGCCAACTACCTTGCTCTGGAGAGGAACGCAGCTGTCTGAGGGAAGATCTTCAGGAGGCCACCAGAACTTATCCCCGTCCGGAGCACTTGTCCCTGAGGGAGCCCCTCACCTTCCTTCCTCACCCGGGCTGAGAGGGCTGTGCCCAGCCACACCCCAAGGGCCTGGTCACTCAAGTGTCCAAAGCTTGGGTGGTGCCTGGCCCAGCTGTGTCCCTTCCTTCCCCCAACCGAAGTCCCTGCCCCCAGCCTTGTCCCCGGAGGGCTCAGCCCTGCTCTCTACCTTCTGAGGCGGACTCTTGGCCCCAGCAGAGAGCGGAGCTTGGAGGCCACCTCCCACCCGTCTCCAGCCCTAGATTTAGCCTGTGGCATCCAGGACCCAGTCCTTCTGGGCCTGGCATTTCCAGTTTGGCAAGAGAAAGAGCGAGGACCTGACCGTGCTCCAGGAACATAAAGTGCCATTCGACTCAAGATAAAGAGATTCAGCCTTTTATTCAGGATGGAGGTGGCTTAGCAGGCCTGCCCCGCCAGCGGCTCAGGGTTTCCCCTCAATGACTCTGATGGCAATCTGGGCCACCCGCCGCATGGTGGCCTCGCTGGCTTCCTTCTCGAGGGCACGGAAGGTGTGCACGTGGGACTGCAGGGCTCTGCGGCCCTCGGGGGCCTCGGCCAGCATGGTCAGGGCCTTGGTGGCATTCAGGCGCACCTTGTTCGTGGGCGAGCACAGCAGGTCCAGGAGCGGGCTGATGGCTTCTGCTTCCAGGGCCGCATACTTCCCTGCAGGCCACCAGCACAGGGCGTCCCCAACAGCCCGAGGGGGCCTCTTCCCACCTCTCTCACCCCACCCTTCCGCCTCTGCCTTCGCTGTCTCAAGGGGAGGCGCCACCCTGGCCCCCTGTCCTCCCCACCCACCCCCACAACCCTTTGCTGAGTCCAGCCTAGGCCAAGTCCCCTCATCTCCTGCCTTTCCAGCCCCCAGCTGGCTTCTCCCCATTCGCCCTTATTCCTGTTTCGAAACCCAGTCCTCGCAGGCAACACCAACGGTCTTTTCAAATTGTAAATCCAACAGTTCGTTTATGTGGTAATTCTTGAGCACCTACTCTGCACCAGGCGCCCACACGCACACACGCTGCCCCTTCCCACCGTCCTCACCGGCCCCACCCTCCTGCAGTGCTCATCAAACTCAGCCTCAGCCCTGCCCTGTTGACTCCCGCTGTCCTTGGGGTCGATCCCACGCCCCTCCCAGAGGAGGCGCAGCCCCTGTCCTGTGCCCTGCCAGGCTGTGCCCCTCCTCCACCTCACTCATCACTCTGCCTCTCCCAAAGCTGAGCCCCCAGGTCCCCACAGTCCAGCACAAGGCCTGGCACGTGGCAGGGCTCAGGGACCTTGGCTGGAGTGCCAGCTCAGGAGGAAGTGGCCTCACATCCCTGGGTGCCAGTGTCCTGTGTCTCTGGCCCTTGCCAGGCCCCCAGCGAGCCCCCCGCCCTCCAGCTGCTCTGGCAGGAAGCCGGGGCCGAGGAGAACACTGGGCCGCAGCTGCCCCGAGGCAAACATGCAGGGGGAGCCCCTGCCGCACACAGTGAGCTCCCTGACTGCACAACCAAAAGGGGGGCTGTGGACTCTGAGAAGACCCCAGCCTGTCCCCTCCTTGTGCCTCAAACTCCACCGCTAGGGTCTGGTGGGAGTGGCCGGGAGGACCTGTCTTTGGGAGGCTCCTTGCAGCACACTGATTGCAAATCTGAGCCCAGACGGTCCTCCATGGACTGCAAAGGAAGCACAGGGCACAGGCTGGGGGTGCATGTGGGCCAGTGGGGAGGTCAGACAGCTTTTCCGAGGCCCCGGAGTGGCACGCCCCAGCCTGCCAGGTGTGGAAACTAGGGTTGGGTGACTTCAAGGGGAAGCCTAACTGGCTGAGAGTTTTGAGGTGGGGGGCTTGGTCAGGGGGACTTGCCCCCTTGCCCAGTTTGGGAAAGTCATTATGATCAACAAACACCATGGAGTCAAGAGCTCTAGGGCTTGCTTAGAGCTCAGGATAACAGAGTCATAGATGGCAAGCTAATGGATCCCAGAATCACTGCTCAGCAGGGGCCTGAGTGGGAGGAGGGAATTCCAGGCCCAGGGAAGAGCCTGGTGCCAAGGCCCTGAGGTCCTAATGCGAGTGACTGGCCCACTGTGCCCAGGAAGAAGAGGGAGGGCTGAGCCTCAGAACAACCCTTGAAAGGACTTGGTGACAAGCCAGGAGGAGGATTTTGGCAGAGCATGGGGACCCAGGGGGCAATACCCAGCCCCTGAGCACCCGAAGGGTGAGGTTTTGAAAGCTCGCCGAGGCTGCCGGCACGATCCTTGCCCCCGCCTCACCTTCCGTGGTCACGGTGGCAAACATCAGGGCCCCGGCGGCGTTGGCCTGCACCTCGTCCACGTCGTCTTTCAGCAGCTGCACCAGGATGGGGATGACGCCGTACTGCCACACCTGTTTCTTGCCCTGCCAGGGGATGCTGGAGCAGAGAAGGGACAGCTGGGACCTCTGCTTGGGAGTAGGAGGGGGCAAGGCCCAGGAATGCCCCAGGGGGACACAAAAGGAAAGGCTCGTGTTGGGACTACTCCTGGTGGTCCGAGATGGCCAGGGAGCCGAGGAGCTCTGGTGTGAGCTCCGGGGGTGCCAGAGCCCCACCCTAAGCCATCATGAGGAAAAGAAATGAGACACGTTCTCCCTGGTCCCAAAATGAGGAAGAGCAGGACCCAAGGGTGCAAGACACAGGGAGACCTGTGTGACTCCACCCAAGAGTCAGAGGGCTAGGCTGCCCCAAACCGCAGCAGGCTGCCGGTGCTGGGCAACTCAGGTGGAGGCTTAGACAAGATGACTTTGGGTCGCTTCTCATTCTGACCCTGTACGAAGCTGTGGACACACAGGTGGTGGACTCCCCAAGAGTTTCCCAACTTAGGAGGGCCAACATTGTCCCCCAAAAGAGAAGGGCTCCCTGGGCCAGGAAACACTGTCCATGGGCCCCATGGGAAAGTCACAGGGCAGGAAAGACCCCTGTGTCACTTACTTTGTTTTATTTTTTAGAGATGGGGTCTTGCTCTGTTGCCCAGGCTGGAGTGCAGTGGTGCAATCCTAACTCAGTGTAGCCTCGAACTCCTGGGCTCAAGTGATCCTCCTGCCTCAGCCTCCCGAGTCACTGGGACTGCATTCCTGCACCACACGCCCAGCTCTACCCAGCTGAATCAACCTTTCCCAAACATAGCCATCCAGAGAACCCACGTTTTTCTAGAACTCTTAGTAACACCTGAAAGACACAGGTGCTCCATAGGAATACAGTTTGGGAAACGGGGTTGGCCAGCCACTAACTGGGACATTGAGGCTGTTGAGCTTTCAGGGCTGTAGGCTTGAAGGATGCAGAGTCCTAGGCGCCCCCTGCAGGAATTCCTGCAGCAAGTAGTAGGCCAAAGCCACCCACTGAGAACCTTTGGTCTACAGCAGCAAACAGAGCAAAGCTTGTTCTCCGGAGGTCACCTTGGGGGTGACATACAAAATAGTAAGGACGGTTGATCAGTACAGGGCAGGAGGGAGGGGGAAGGCCGCAATTTTCTCTCCTGGAAAGCCTCTGTCCTGGTCCCACTGGAAAGAGACCTCTGAGCAAACCTGACGGGTGATGGGGCTGGCCGGGGCCCAGAAATCTGCATTTAACGGGCCTCCCAGGGGCTGCACTTGCAGAAATACTGGCCAGGCCTCCAGTGAGAATCCCGGATGGAAGGGAGCCAGGACCTAGGGCCCTCACTAAAAGGACACAGCTAAGGTGGGGACTCTGGGGTTGGTGACCAGCTCGTGCTTGGGACAAGGGGCCGATGTGGGAACACACACCACCCCTCTCCCCAGCCCTGCAGCTTGTGCTGCCTCAGTTTCCAGGCCAGGATATAGACTGTGCTCCAACGTGACCTTGGGCAAGTGACAAGACACGCTGCCTCAGTTTCCTCACCTATAAAGAGAGACATCGCCTTTGTTGGGGGTTGTCTAAATGGGATGTTTGCAGACAACACCTGGCACATAGGAAGCACTTAAGTGACCAGCGGGCACCACTGTCACTACCAGTGTTCTTCTGCGCTTGCCTTCCCCGTGGAGGCGGGTGCCCAGCCACCTGGTTTCGTCCAGGCTAGGGGGTTTCCCGGGATCCAAGACACTGTCAGGCCAGTGGGGTCGGGCCCAGGCCAGGCCTTACCTGACGGCCATGAGCGTGCAGGCAGCCTTGGCCCGGATGCTGTGGCTGCCACTGAGGAGCTGCTGCTTTAGAAAGGGCACCACGCGGCTGCCCAGGGCCTCCGTGGCATCCACGCGCAGGCAGGAGGCCAGCGTGTCCAGAATGAGCTCCTGGATGGCCCCCTGCTCCTTCTGCAGCTTCCACACCAGCGAGGGGATCAGGCCGCTGTTGAGGATGCCTTGGGCCCCTGTGGGACAGGAAAGGCACCGAGGGTGGGCCGGCCACCCGCACCCTGCTGGTTGGCCTGCAGAGCTGGGCCTAGGAGAGCCCACAGCTCAACTCCCCGGGGTCCCAAGCACAGGAGGGGAGCCTCCTCTCTTCCCTCCCCGCCCCAGAGCAGTGGAGCCAGTGGAGCCCCACCCCAACCTGAAATGTCTCAAAGCTGCTGGAGCCCCCAGATTGGCCTGGCCGGCCCTTGAGAAGAACTTGGAATCGTCTGAGACAGAAGACCTAGAGTGTACCAGTGTCTTATATGCCAAAAAGGGCCGTGGCCCCAACTAAAGGTGACAGGAGCCGATAGGGTCTAGCCCAGGGGTCTACCTGGAAGGGACCGGATACCCCATGGGAAGGGGGGCTCCCCTCGCACAGCTGGGGTGCAGGTGCTAGGAGAGGCACAGTGAAGTCAGCCTCCCACATAGAGGTCCCAGTCACCCCTCCAGCTGCTCCTCCCTCCTGGGATTGTCCAGAGAACCCAGAACCCCGTCATGGGCAGCATCCCAAGGGGCCCAGATGTTGCCCCGAGTCACCAAGATGAGCACAGAGAATGTGCCAGAGCTCCAGGGAGGGCAGCCCCTCCCCACACACAGCCCCTCACTACTGCCCTGCAGCCCAGCCACCCACTGCAAAGCCATCCATAGCCCCCCAGGGAGGCGGCCACCAGCAAACACCTCTCTCTTCTGCCATCCGCAGCTAAACCCTCTAATTTACTCTAGAGAGACAAATAAACAGGTTAATTAGGCTAAAGGTCTCTGAGTGCCAATTAGCACCAGGGACTTCCTCTTTGAAGACATCACCCCGGCCTTCCTCCCTCACTCCCTGAGGACATCAAATGGCAGGTGCCCGGGGTGAGGGGTGGAGAGGCAGGGCAGGGTGTTCAGTGGCTCCTACCTTGCCCTCGACCAAGTCCCCTGATGTCCAGCAGCTCCCAGTGTCCCGACCGGCCCCTCCCTGGGGTGCCAGGGTGCAGCACCTAGCTCTGCCCCATTTGTTCTCAGGGCACTCATGACACAGGAAAAGCAGTTTCCTGTTGCTTGGGGTGTGTTGGGCTTTTTAAGATTTAATACACACAGACTTCAAAAAAAGCCTAGTTTGACTCCTAGGTGTATCCTGTCCCAGCTCTATGGCTGGTTTCCTCATCACTGAGGCCAGCCTACCTCGCGCGGGGTTGTACACCACCCGCGGGGTTGTGGGTGGGAGCTTCCTGTGCTACAGATTTTCACATCCATGTAAGGGACTGTCACTGTGTGCCCAGAACATCTGGGCAGGGTGGCAGGAGGTGCCTGTGTCCCACCAACACTGAGCCCCAGCTGCCAACAAGGGCTTGCTGGGGTGCGGGGTGAGGAGCAGGACATATCCCAAGCCCTGTAGAGCCTGTCAGTGGTCCCCTGGCTGCCTCTCTTGGGGGCCTGCTCCTTTCTGCCCCTCCACCCTCCCCTTTGGCGGGGCCACTGCCAGGCCACACACCTGGCCTCCTGCTCCCACTGTGCTCCCGCCTCAGGTACAGCCATGACCGGCACAGCTCATGGTGGGGAGGTGACAATTTGACCTTGCAAGAAAGATTTTTGCTGGCCGATGGGGGTACAAGGTTCTGGGCTGGGGACCACCTGAGCAAAGGCCTGGGCGTGAGGAAGTTGTGAATCATCAAATTGGGGCCTCACTGTGGCCTCATTTGCACCTGGATTTGAGCTTTCTGGGAAATCTCAGGGACAAGTGTCTCTGCTGGGACTACGGGGAGCTGCTTCCCAAGTTGGGATGGGCACAGGCCGGGGGAACGATAGAGGGAGCAAGTTGAGGTCAGAAAAGTCGGAATATCAGAGGTGGTTACCTCTGCTGTCCCCCTTCTCCCTTGGTGAGGAAACCGGGGCCCAGAGAGGTCACTCAAATGCCCAAGGTCGCACAGCAGATGGGGGCCAAGCCAGGCAGGGTTCTCAGCTCCTCTGGTTTTGTTTCTTAGGCATTTGGCCCTCTACTCCTAGAAATGCTCAGTGCTGGGACCCGGTTTGTTTTGAGACAGAGGGAGAAGATTAAAAATAATCGTGCCGGGTGTGCCTTTCTGCTCGTTCACTTTGCTTCTTTTCAGCTAAAAGAAGAGTCTCAGGCCTGGCTATTTATAACTAACCCAGATCTGCGATGGCTTGTTCAAGTGGGGGTGGGGCACATGGACCCCAAGGGAACAAGCTAGAGAAACCCGCCCAGCTGGGCAGGAGCCTGAGAGGCAGTGAGGGCTGGGGTGCAGGACAGGTGGGTGCAGAAAAGAGCCAGCCAGGCTGGGGTGGCACCTGAGCAGGCCAGGCCCTGGGCCGCGGGAGGTTCAGACACAAGTGAGACACCCACACATCCCCCTGAGCAAGTGGGAAGACCAGTGGAAGAGTCAGCTAGGGACAGGTCGTTTCAGAACAGGTTGGCATGTGCGTGTGTAGACAAGAATTCCAGGGTCCTGGGGCTCCGGAAATGCAGGACAGGAGGCCTGGGGAGGCGGCCCTCATGGAGTGGAGGAGTCCAGACCGGTAGAGGGTCCAAGGTGTGTGTTTGGGGGAACCCCTGATCTGGCCTAGCAGGTATGTAGGGGCCAGGATGGGTCAGTAGTTGATGACCCAGAAGGAGCCACTGGGATTGAGGGGTCATGACACCCACGGCTGGAGCCACCTTCCATTGAGGTTTGATCAGTTTCTGGGGGACACCACCTCCAGGGGCCACTCCTCAGTCAGCTGTCCCTGCTGAGTTGGGGAGGTGCCAGATAGGCTCAGTCATCAGGGCTCCTTCCTCTGGCTGCTGCGGAGCCCCAGCTGCCGTCTCTCTGTCCATGAGGACTTAGGACAGAGCACCGGCCCCCGGGTTCTGCTCCCAGTCACACCGCCTCCTGCCCTGGGGACTGTGTGTCTGCGTTTGGCTCCCTGGGCCCACCGTGCCTCAGGTGACCCACCTGTCCAGCTTGAGCCTTGTGCAGCCTCAGTCCCTAGACTCCTGGCACACTGATGCCCACCGTGCCTGCCTCCCCCTGGGGATGCTTCTCTGTCCTCACCTCGCTCAGCCTCAAAGCAGCCATGACACCGCTGATCAACTGCATCTTCCCTCCTGAGATGCTCTCTTCCCTCCACTCTGCTTCCCGACACCTCCCCAGCTTCCTCCACTTTGTTGGCGAGTGCCATCCCTTCCTCCAGCAGCTCCTCTCATGGGCACCCTCATCACGCCCGGCCACTGTCTCCTGACACGCTGAGTCTCCCCGTGGCCCCACGCCCACAGCAGGCCCTATTCTGGACTTGGCCTCATGCACCGACTCTCTGCTCTTTCTCACTGTCTCTGGACTGACTAGTTGATATTTTTGTTATTTGATTATACCCAGTAGGACAACTCACATTGTCTGTGGGACCACGCCTACTGCAAATAAACATGGGGGAAGAAAGGCTTCATCGTAAAAGGCTCATCTTAAAATTCTGGTTCTTAGTGGTTCTTAGGCCAACATCCCCCATTCTACTGTTCCCGGTACCCTTGCAGCTCGCTGGCCCCCGCCACGCTGGTCTTCCCAGGGTTCACCAAGCCTCGTGCTCCTTGATGCCCAGCGCGATCCCCACCCTAGAACGCAGTTCTCTCCCACCCCACGTCACTGGCCACCTCCACTCCTGCTGTGGCCTCATCTCTTCCTTCAGGAAGCTGGCCCAGTGGCCAGTGCTCCCCTGCCACATGCCCCCAGAGCACGTTGGGTCTCCTCCAGTAGTGTCACATGACTGTAATGGCCAATTATTGCCCTGCTTTCTGCCCCTGTCCTGTAACCCGCAGGGTATGCCAGATCACGGAGCTGAGCTGCAACCGCCACACCACTGACCTCTGCCAATAGTCAGTCCCAGTGCTTCTGCTTAATGAACAGGGTCACCCACGTGATTTGACCACGAAGGCGTAAAGTGGTAAGGAAGATGTTAGCTGGGAGGCATCGGCATTTTACCAGGGATGCTCTAGGATGCGATAGGCACAGACAGGCTTTGAAACTGAAAGCAGAATGTCGCAGCCTGCCCTGCGGTACATTTAGCTGAGGGTCTGATGCTTGTTGCTGTGAGATTCCCAAAGGCACCAACAGGGGCCTGGCCTTAAGTGAACTGGCTCCTCCCGCTTCTCTGGGCCGGAGGCCAGCTCCTGGACCCTTCTTCACCCTCCCTTCCCTTCCCAAGGAACCTTTCCTGGGCCAGGACTGCCAGGAACCCAAAGAGCCTCTACATGCTGGGGGCAGAGAGCAGATGACTAATGCCCCTCCCATCGCTGCACAAACCTCACCGTTGTAAATTTGTAGGGTTTGCACATCCTTTCACACGTTCTAGCGTTCTGTTGCGACAATCCAGGAGGCAGGTGCCACTAGCCCCACTTTGCAAACGGAAAGACTGGGAGAGGTCAGCCGGTTGCCCAAGGACGCAGAGCCCAGAAGGGGCCCAGCTGGGTTGCACCTTCGGTGGGGAGGTGAGCGGGGACAAGCTGAGGTGGAGGCGCCTGGGCCATTGCTGCTCTCAGGCCGGGTCCGCCAGGCTTGCCAGACGCGGGCCCACTGGGCTGGCGTCCGGGCCTCGGCGCAGCGTAGCCCCAGGGATGCCAGCGCGGGTAGCGCGTGCGGGACTGCGGCGCAGACAGGAGCTGCGGCCCCGCCCCCGTCCGTTCCCATTGGACCGCTGGCGCATCCGTCAGCCGCCTGCTCCCAATGGGCAGCAAGCCGGCGCTCGTGGTGGGGCGGAGGCGCCTGGCGCGTGGTGCCCAGCGGGCGCGCGGCACCCCCGTCCGCGGTTGGCCTAGCAACGCGCTGCGCTCCCGGCTCCGCCCCCTGCCGGCGGCCGCTAGGCGCGGGGCGGGCGGACCCGCGGGCGGGCGGCGGGCGGCGCGGGAGGGCGGGTGGAGCGAGCCAGGCCGGCCGGAGCGTGTGCGCCGCCCGCGGTCCGGTCACGTCCCCGCGCGGGGGCTGCCGCCCGCGTCGTGCGGAACGAGGGCGCC